TGAGGTGGAATTGATTAGACAGCAGTGGGTTTTCTCTTTTATTACTAAGATTCACCCCAAAAAGTTAGAAAAAGGACTGTAAAGTAAATCCCCAGAAATAAGGAAGAAATTTATGACGTGTAATTTGGTTTAAAAAGGCCCAAGTAGATTTTTTTAAAAATTTGTTAAATTTTAATTGGGGTACATGGGTGTGTGATGTCTGTAGTTTTCTGTATACCTGAAACATGTCATAATTAAAATCTTTGTAAAATTAAAAGCACTAAATAGTTACAATATGTAAAGATGACAATTTGGTGTCTCAAAAGTAGTTTGCAATGCTGGGTGATGTAGGGGAAATTAGGATCACAAGGAGGATGGCAGGCCCCTCTGTCAGATGTACCCTGGCCTCCTGGGTCCCCATCAGTCTCCAGAGCTCAGGCTGGGCTCTCACCTATGGCATCAAAGGCAGGCAGCAGGCTAACATCTATCCAGCTTCCCAGGGCCGTGGACGTCAGTCGGAACTGTAGAGTGCCAGGCCCATTCTGGTCAGGAAACTTGAAGCTCAGGCTGGGGACTGGGTCCCGGCACCAGGAGTCCAGCTGGGCCTGCATGTCATCAAGGATCTCTGCACGGCGAGCCCCCTGGTCCTGGTAGTCCCTGAAGCAGTTGAAGAAGATGACGAGTTCAGCATCACAGCCTCCCTTCAGGGCTGTTCCCCGGCCGAAAGAGCCTCCCTGCAGAGGGAAACATAGCACAGACTGGTGACCTTCTCTGAGCCCAGGAGTCAGACTATGACCCCACTAGCTGTACCTCCTCTGTATCCCTGAAAACGCTCTCTGGCTGCTGCTGGGTCTCAGAGCACCGAGACAGAGGCAGAGTGCACGAGCTGACCTCCGACTCTCAGAAGCCTGGCAGAGAGTCAGATGTCTGCCTGCACCTGCCCTCTGACCCATGAAGTCTGGGCAATGTCACACCAACAAGTAACTGTGGTGGGTGGAGTAAGGGCAATGGTCCACCATCCGCAAGCACTTGCCAACTGCGCATCTGGACCAGAGGTTGCAAATGGAGGTCCCAGGGCTAAATGGGGTCTGCTGATGTGTTCTGTTGGCCTTTCTGATTGATTCATTCATCCATTCAATGAATCTTCACTGAGCACATACATGTGCCCGGATACGTGGAGGGGAGCCC